CACTTCCTTGTTGTGACCAGAAATGTGTTCAAGAAAATTCATGCCCCTATTTTCCCAGGGACAAAAGGAAACTACCCAGTTTGTAGCTCTTTGGGCTGTATTTTTGCCTTTTTTGGAGGGTGCCACATATGCATTTGTTCAGCCATTGGGAGGGTCTTGAAACATCTGAGGGTATCCCAGATGTTTCAAAGATGCTAGGGAAGGACCTCTCTGTGACATTGGCCAGCTCTATCAACATTCACAGGCAGTCCTTTTGGCCCCATGCACTGGCAGGATTTGAGTGTCTCAGTAATCCCCAGCTGAATCCTCAGCCACTGCTGGCAGCTACTCTCCTCAAACCCTTGCTACTAAGCACAGAGGCTGGGAGACCTTGCTGGTGATAAGTCACTAAGGAACAGAAGGATCAGGGTACCCCAGCCTTATCTGCATCCACTGTCACTATGACACATCACATTCCAAAAGAAGCTCATATTTTACTTGTCCGGCTTTTCACTACTCAAGTACTAGAAGAAACTCTTCTTGCTGCCCTTGATCTCCCTCTTAAGCATCATCTCTAGGTAAGCATTGTTTCTCTTTATGTCATCCCTACATACCAGGACAATTTTTCTAAATTTCTCCTTTGTAGCCTGTCCCTGCTGCCCCTGTTTGTATATTCCATTTTTGCACTGCAGCTCAGATGAGTTCCCCACAAAGTCAAGCTCATCTCTTGATAGGCCTGCTTGCTTTTCTGACTATCAGGATGGATCACTGGCATCTAAATTTATTCTCAGTGATACCACTGCTGTATCCAACAAGTATGAAAACATAAGCTATCCATGTAAACAAAAGGGTGGAAAAGAAAGGAACCAATACAATTTGACTAAAGAAAGAACTGCAACATGGGAAAAAAGCTGATACAGTTGACACAATGAACACAGTCTTGAGTTTGGGATACAGACCAAGTCTGAGACAGCTAGGAAGACAGGCAGGAAAGGAAAATACAAATTCAGATGAGGGAAGCCAGTAAGAATGAAACACAAAATTGAAGAGGGAAAACTATAGAAGACAGAACTACAGGAGCCAGTGGAAATGCACAATACAGAGAGGAGAGATCCTTTTTATGATAGAGAACTGGATGTGAAACTGAGGGTAGTGGGCAGAAACCTGAGACCAGCAGACAGGACTGGGAAAGGGTTAAAACAGTGAAAGAAACTGGGATAAACAATTTATTAGTTAGAACCTCTATGCACAGCAGTACTGGATGTCAGATAGGAAGCCCTTTAGCAAGAAACAAACTGTTTACTTGGGGAAAACAGAATTGTGCTAAAAATTTTAGGATAGGGCAAAGAAGATTAGGACAGGGATATCACACAAGGAATAAGCAGAAAAATCAGCATCCAACAGAATATGTTCACTCCCAGAGCCTGGAATAGAGCCCAAGATTCCAGAGTTTCACCTCTACTTTCAAACTCTTCAAAATCTCAGAAAACCATACACAGACAACATCATTTAGAGTACAGCTGAATAACAAATTACTAGTATCACATTCCCAGCTAGTTCAAGTGGAACAAGTCTCATAGCAAACCTGAAAAATTTCAGCACTTTTAAAGACTTATATGCTATATGTGTATTACTCGTATGTGCAATCTCACAGGACAGAGCGTTTCCTCCTATCCATCAGGTTTGCTGACTTTTTTTTAATCTAGAATGTTGAACAATTTGGTTATGTGTAAAAAATTGCATGGAGTTTTAAACAGCTGGCTATCAAAAACCTAACCATTGGTTCAAAAAATATATATAGTCACATCACAAAAATTAAAGGTTATTTGATCTTGTTCTCTGTACCCTTGTGCTCAAGGTACTCTTGACGTGTTACTGAACAACGTGTTAGAAAAAAAAATCAATAACAACATTATATTATATAAGGACCTTGCCATATGCACTGCAAATGCTGGCAAGTGTGTTGTTAATAAGAAAGGTATTGTAGGAAAATTGAGGGAATTAATACTTTCCTGGAAATTTTTATTTTCTTCATCTTTCTTGCAGACAAATCATCTTTAAAAGAAAAGAAAATATACCAACAACCCCTACAAAATTTTAATGAACAATCCACTCTTCATCAAAATTATGGACTTACTACCTTGGGGTTAACACTGCAACAGATCTAAGTATTTATACCTGCAGTACAAATCAACACACACCATACTACAAATCAAGCAATGAGGTCTTTTCCAGATACATTCATGGATCCCTGTTGAGGGGTTTATTAAAAACAACAAAAAGAAGCCAGATTATTGTTAGTAAATTAGACCTTTACGGGAAAACATCTTAGAACATATAAATCATTAAAACACTGATAGATTATTTTGAAAAATCATATAATAAAGGTCCTAAATTGGATATTCAACACAAAGGAATACATAATATATCTCAGGAGACTTATGTGCAAATATTACTAGTGAAACATGCAGGCACTAGAGACTGAAGGTAATGAAACAGCAAAAGAGGAAATTAAGAAAGTACAGTATGAACGGCACATAAACAAATATTGAGGCCACACATTATTTGATACCAAGAAAAAGGATTCAGTACGGCACACTGAACACCATCTATGCCGTTCTATGCTATATACTAAAAGCAACATTGTAGGGGAAAATGTAAAATTTAACCCTACATTTATAGGCCACATTACATGTCTTACAAGAATTTCTGATTCTGCCATTTCATGATATGTAAGAGCTTGATCTTGCAACTTCAAAGTTCGTTGGATACAGTATTTGTTGCACAATAGCAAAACACACACTCTTATTTCCCAAAAAAAATCACACATCACTTCACTTGCAGATTATTTTCATCATACAAGAGATGCATATTTATGCAATCATATATAGTGTGCATCATCTATATTTGTTTTCCTTATTGTATTAGAAGCATATTCTATGACCAGACAACAAGCTTTAATTAAGTCACTTTTGCTTTGACACTAGCTCCCCCTCCAGACCAGTTTAAGATTATAGTATTGACTTTTTACTTTAATTCTGACTCTGCAACAAGATACAAATACTCAAATCTAAACCTTCTTCTTCTTTATCCATTGAAATGTCAATGAACAGACTGATCTGATAAACTATAAATAAAATTATCATTTATTATTTTTAACTGCATACATCCAAGCCTGGGAAAATAATTTGGTTTAGAAAAGATCTGACAGATAAAGCACCTATTCCATACAGTCACACAAAGACAGAAATGGACCAAAAATAAAATTTTTACTCTCTGAATGGTGTGCAATATTTGTAATACATAAGCATTCAATTATACAATCCAGTCTCTATTTGAAGTCTCAATAGAGTGATTGTAAACCACAGATGCCAAAACAAAGGGAAGCCGGTATATGGTTTAGTACAACCTTTACTGATTCACTTAAGGTGAAGTAGCTCCATTTCTACTCCAGCAAGTGTAACTAACATGTTTTTTCTCGTATTATTTATATATTAGCTAATGAAACTGCCAAAATTTTAAACAAATTAAGACAATGGACTAAAAGGGAAAGAAAGATACAACTTCCAACTGACCTTCTGTATTTCCCAACTGTCAAATGTCCTGGCAGCTACATCACTGAAGGAGTGAATTTGCCTGATTCAACACGCCAGGTTGATTCCTTCCTTTCTCTCATTCTTGAACTTTTTGTTCAGAAAATATCAGTAATTAATTATACTTCCAGCTTTGAAAAATACTGTCTTATTACATGTAGTTGGGAAAGTATGCAAACTTTGCAATATGCTAGTGCGCCTGCTTAAGGTAGATATACATAAAAAACCCTAACAAGCATCACTGATAATCTGGCAGTAAGCATACCTGCACTAACCAGAGAAACAGACACTACTGGAAATACATCAAAGCAGAGTCACCAACTCCTCATAACTAGTTTTCTTTAATAATGAAAGGAATTGCAAGTCATCTGTAAAAGCACCCCAAGCACCAGCAGCACAGGCAAGCAGGCCACTTATTTGCTTTTGCAGTTCAGACTTTTCTGAAGTTTTTGATGACTTGCAGTGGAAAATTACTTGGAAAAATAAATAAGATTAATACTATAAAATCAAGAAACCTTTTCATGCTCACTCTTTCTGAAGTATTTGCTCCAGTAACTTGCAGGCCTAAACATTAAGATCCTGAACTTCGGGATAGAAAGAGTATGTACACATGTATACCAAAATAAACAATTTTCAGCTGATGTGTATGTTTTGGTATACAAACACACACACACACACACACACACACACAGAGAACAGGAGGTGCCAAGTGCTAACACAAGACTGCAGATAAAGTACACGAATATTCTGAGCCCAGGGCTGTTTGCCACATCCATGTACACACAGCATGTGCATCACAGCGTACCATGTGCGCGTTAAGGGCGCAAGGACAGCAGGTACTGCCCCGAAGAAGTTACAGTCTTTCAAAAAGCAATTTTACAGCTCACTTCTTTGCCCTTAGGTTTCTTGGTACAATCTGCACCACAGCACTATAGTTTCTGCCTCTTGTACCCTCAACCAGGAGCTTCTGAAAGCAGAGGGTCACAGCCTGGTCTTTGCAGTGCACCAAGAGCACAGTGCGCGCACTACTTGCACACACGTGTGAAAGTCCCGAGCACGCATCAGCACTAACTCGCCTAGGGGTAAACCGCCAGAGCCTTACCAGTAAGAGGATCCTCGACCAAAGCCAACTGTGCCGAAATACAGGGAAGGTCGCCGCGGGAAAAGCCCCAGGCAACAACCGATGGCTCCGTACCCGTGTCAGGCAAGCACTTCCTCCAGCTACCCGGCGGCCCTAAAGTGTGAGGTCCGTCCTCATAGCCCACGCTCCCCGGGTATTCCTCCCTGCCAAAAGCAGGCGTCCCCTCGGGCGGCCGCAGTTCCCGGGACAAGGAAAGTTGGAGGCCGCCCCCCGCGCCCTGCGGCCGCGGCGCACGGGACGGCGACAGCCGCGCTCCGCGCTGCGGGAGCCCCGCTGCCCGCGCCGCGCCCGGGGCAACGCCGCGCCCGGGGCTCGCACGCATCTCCCTCCCGGGCCCGGCCCGGCCCCGCCGCCGACGGAGATGCCCCGGCCGCTCGCCGAGCCCCGGCCTCCCCTTCCTCCGCCGCCGCGCTCTCCGGCGGCCTCAGGCCCCACCAGCGACCCTCAGGTGAGGGAGCCCACGGGGACCCCGACGCACGGCAGGGACCGGCCCCCTCCCCGCCATCACCACCCCGGCGGCGGCGGCAGCGGTTGCTGAGCAGCGCCCGAGTCGCAAAAGCGGCGGCGCCAGGCCCGGGGGAGGGATGGGGAGCGCTGGCCGGAGCAGCCCGGTCTCGCCTCGGTACCCGCTTCCCCGCCGCCGCGGCTGCCGCTGAACCCCCGCATCCCCTTACCGGAGTGCCGGCGCCGCCGGCGGAGCCCGCGCTGCCGCTGCCACGGGTGCCGGGCGGGGGGGCGGCGGGGCTGGAGGGCGGGGGAGCGGCGGGAGGAGACGGAAGCAGGAACCCGCCGGCGGCGGAGCGGAGCCGGCGGGGACGGGGCGCGGGGCGCGGGCAGGGCGCGCGCCGAGGGCGGGGAGCGGCGCGCGGGCAGCGGTGACAGCGGCGCACGGCCCGGGCAGCGCGCGCCCCCGCCGGCGCGGTAGGAAGAGCCGCGCCGCGGGCGCGCGCCTGCCGGGGGAAGCAGCCTATGGGAGCGCGAGCCGGGGCCCGGTGCCGCGGGAGCGCCCCCGTCACGGAGCGCCGGAGCGCGCATGCGCGCCCCGGACCTTCCAGCGCCGCCGCTCCCCCCGCCCCGCCGCCTCCTCCCGCGCGCCCCCGCCCCGGGAGCGGCCGGGACGGGCGGGACGGGCTCGGCGGCGTTCCCGCATCGCCACGCGGCCCGCATCGCCGCGCGGGAGGCGCAGGAGCGGCCGCGTTTACCCCGGCGATGGGCGTGAGCGCGGAGCAGCGGCGCCCGGCTGAGCGAGGGAGCGCGGCGGAGATGGAGCGCGGCGGCGTTGGCGTTGCGGGGCACCCCTGAACTGCCGCTTGATCCCGCCGGGAAGGCGCCCCTGCCCCGGTTGGCTTTGTCCCCAGCAGCGATACCGAGCCGCGGGCAGGGCCGGCCGCAACCCCCGGCAGCGCTGCTGCCCGCAACAGGCTGGTCCCGCCCGCAGCGCCAGCGCATCCTGCCCGGGAACAGGCTTAGTGGTTTTAATGCAAAGATCCCTAGAAAAGACAGAAATCTCACGAAATTTTGTATTATGAGAGAAAAAGGAGTGCTCTGTGGCTGCTGGGTGACTGCAGGACTGAGGAGAGGCCCGCTCTCATCCAAGTACCCTTGATTGTTCCACCTTTGTGGCTTGACAAAACCCTTCCCAAAAGTGCACGTAAACGGGTGAACTCGGATGGATGCGGAATTTCAGGCGTCTAACCTAGCTGTAGTTTCCTAAACATTCATCTAGGGAAACTACATACATTTTAAAAGTTTGCAATGCGCACTGATAATGTTTTGGTGTGCTTGGCAGACGATGGCAGAGATGGGAAGGTAGCATGTAAAGTAGAAATTGTAGTAGGAGTATGTTAGAAGATACTGTGATTTAGGTAAAAGCCAGAGCTAGTACGGATGGATATTTTGTAACTATCACATCCTTTTTGCACCCCCTCCCAGAGCTCGGAAGAGCTGTTCAGCGTATTGGAGTTTTGTCCTGTATTCCTTCACACTTGTCTTCCCTGGTTTATTTCACTAGCCCTCTTGTTGGTTTTTGTTTTGGTTTGGGTTTTTTTTTTTCCCCAGAACTAGTAAACATTCACAAATGTCCTTGTAAGGCGTGAGACATTATGCCAGTGTCTTTTGGTTTTTCTTTTTTGACTTCATACATTCTGGATCAGCTGTGTGCTAACACGGAGCTTGGGGCACAACCACCGCCAGCATTGTCTGGGGGATGCCAGGAAGAGTTACAATATTCTGAGCCCATAGCAACCTTCCAGAGTGATCTGGAAATGCAGAAATAAATAATATATCTATCTTTCTTCCCTAAGGTTTTGATTCCTAACTGACAACAATAGAGATTAGTTGAGAAATAGATGATAAGCAGATTGCTGATGGTTGTCAAGTGCTGAGCGCAGTTGCCAGCTCCTATGACTGCAACAGTTGTTCAGTTGTTATACTTACTAACAATTATATTGCCTACAAATTTAGTCAAGGATTTATATTCCAAAATCCAGTTCCATAAATCAAAAACATTTTAAAAGTCTAGGTATATGCAAAAGGACCAAAAGCATATGCAGTGCAGGGAAGGGAATGAAGCCCCCATGCCTGGAAATATTCAACGTCAGATTGAACAGGGTCTTTGAGCAACTTGATATTGTAGAGGGTTTGGACTAGATGACCTTTAAAGGACCCTTTCCAACACAAATCATTCTGTGACTCAAAGCTGATGATCCAGAAACCAAGGCATGTCTTTCCAAATGATAACTGTATGTTGCCTTTGCTTGGAGGATGTCACCTAAAGAAGGATTCTAAAAGAAAGTAAAATTGTTCAGGAGACTTCTGAAAAGTGGAGATCTTGTGGTGAGTCTTTTCTGTCTGGTAGGAAAATACTATTTGCTAGACATTAACCTGATTACTAACCCACAAAATATTAGGGTACTTTCAATGCAAACAGTTCTTAGATACAATGTTTGCAAACTGGACGAAAATCAGGCCAAAATAGATGGATTCTTTCATTGATACAGTCGTGGTGATTTCAGTTGTACTTACTGTGGTGTGAAATTAAGTTCATTTCAAGTGATTGTTTAATGCAACAAGGAACCTACTGCTGGTTTTCTTGCTTTCAAGCCCATGATATTCTGTGCTACAGGCATATATTCTTAAATCAAAGAAAATTACACAGTACCATGCCCAGTATCCACTGGAGATACCAGTCAGCAAAATGTGATCAATCTGCATATAACTTGTACAGTTAGGAGTTATTTTTATTTATATTGCAGTTTCTAATTATGTCATAGCACCTACTCCTCATTTTTATTTTAAGGAATTTGTGACCTGAGCTGTGCTAAGGAGAAAGAAAATTAAATTATTAGGGAGAAAGGTGAAAAGATAGTGAGGGGAGTGCTGCTACAGAGTGCTAACTTTTTACAAATGCTAAATGCAGCAGGTACATACAATTGGAAGTACATTTCCCAAATTATACTGAAAGGCCAGCAGCTAATTTTATTTTACCACAAAAAGCTCATTTTTAGGTGTAAAATGCCTCTTGTGACTCCAACAACTTCTTCATCCCATGACCAAGGGGCAGAGCCTTAGTTTTTTTGGTGCTCTGAAATGCTTGGGAATGAAAATTTACACTAGAATATTGGACATTTTTTCACTACCATGGTCAGGAAATTAACTTTCTTAAACAATTTTAAGGTGGAGGATTTGAGTTCTAGTTGTGGAGTGTACAGTTTCTAGTCCTCAATCTCACAATCTAATGAATCACTTTTATCTGATACAGACCCAAAATCTGCTGGAGTCAGCTAATTCTTTCCACTTGGCAAGAAGGTGGTAGCACTTTCACATAGCAGGTGGAATCTCAGCAGGGCAACTCTAGTTTCACTTTGATGAGACATCCTGCCACCTGTCTCAGAAGTTCCTCTGAGTAGCAATGTGAGTTAAAATGGAATGTAAAGGTATTTTGACTTTTATATGAACACATACTGAAGTCTACATTTAAACCTCCCTAGAAACAAAATTCTACTTTCGTGAACTTTTTATTTCTCTGTGCAGTATTAACAAGTTGTCTCTTATTCTTCACTATCTCTGAACCCCAGAGCCATAAAGCAGTCTTAATGGATAACAACAACTCCTCCAAAAAATATCTTATCCCTTTATATTAAATTATTAGAAGAATATTCAGGTTTTAGCTATCACAGTAGTAAAAGTAAACTTAAAATAAAGAATCACCAGAGCTGGAAGGGATGTTAAAAAGTACTTCTCAAATTTTTTTTTTTTAATTAAGCATGAGTTAGGGACATTGGTTACCTTAGGTTTTGTGGACAATTTTTAATTATTGCAAGGTAACTGTACCTTGGAAATACTTCGCCTAAAAAGACATCCAATTCTCCATGTGACATCAGAGTTAAACCACACCTTTATCTGAATCCTACCATATGCAACTTGCTGCTGCAAATTGGCTTTATTTCATACCAACTAGTCTATATTACCTGCAGCAGACCACTGTAAAATGGTAATACTCAAGGATCACTAAAACTAAAATCAGAACAGGAGAGTGTTACAGGTATTTTTCTCTTTGCTTACTATAAAGAATAAAACAGTTTCTAGCATAATTTATCCAAGCTTTGTTTTGTCATATGAAGGAGGAAGAAGATATGGGTAGGAACAGCTCAAAAACCAGTATATTCAGGAAAGAAATGTAGAAATTACATTTGAAAAAACTGGAGTGGAAGGGTGTTACGCCTTCATCCCTCTTAAATAAAGACTATATACTGAGGAGGATGAGTTGGGGAAAAAAAACCCAAATATCTAAATATGTTAATTTTTCTTCTATGTAGAAGTCAACATGCTGTGAGTACCCAGACACTGCACCAGTCAGGAAACTGCAGAAATGCAACTGTAACATAAGAATTACAGAAAACATGTCATAGGGGTTAAAGGTAGTTCAAGACACAGCAGGAATGAGATTGCAGAAACTGCCAATATTACATAAAACTTTTTAAAAATTCTAAGGCTATTACCAATCATTTAATGTAAAACCAAATTTCTTAAATTCTAAAGAACATTTTAAAGAATCCATCAAATGTTTCTGTTGTAGATCTCAGAATTTTTCCTGCTTTTTCCACTGGCTTGAAATCAGGTCTCGTACTTGTCAGGTCTCAGCTTCATGTAGAAAATAATTTCAAATACTTGCAACATCCCTCCCAAGTTAGTAGTGTTTTAAGAAAAAAATTAAAATATTTTTACTACGACTTACATCTGTGTCTATTAAAGGATATCATGAAAGTTTATTTCTGCTTTTCCAGGAAATGCCAGCAGGTACAGCCAGTTACTGTAAGTGCACTACAAAGCAGTGGTTCCTCCTCTGTGGGGAAAAAAAAAAACCACTGAATTACTGAGATGCATTGCTGTTAAAAGTTGTGATAGTGCTTCAGCATAACCTACAGAAGTACTTGCAGCTTCAGAGCAACTCAAGAAGCTTTTCTGTCCCATTAACCAAAACACTTTCAATTTCCATCTTGAAGCAGGTGAAACCATAACAAACATTGCACAAGGACTGTTTATCTGTACCCAAAACATTAGAATAAAGTGTTTATATCAATCAAAACAAACTTATTCTTTCTTGACACTTTCACATTTACAATTCTTCTTGAGTTGTAGTCCGATTTGATGTGGCATAGAAGCTTGTTTCTATTTACTAGTTTTATTGCAAGCAAAGGCTTAAAGGTCAAAAGGAACAAAGGGCAAACACAATTAAAATGTGCTGGGTAGGTTGTGTAATCAAAAAATCATATTGTGGATTTCATTATACATCAGAGACACCTATGGTTATGTGGAAAATATAGCAGCACAGTGGTATCTCTTCTGGGGAATTGAAGCAAGGATAGCTTCACTAACAGCAGCAGTCTGTACATCTCAGCAGAACAGAGACCATTCTTGTGTTATATTGGAAAGCGTAAAGCAAAGTAATGTAAATGCAATGGCAAAAGGATCTTCTCCATGTGTACATTCTTTCTTTATGCTGAGCCTCAAGTAGTACAGCTGTGTAAACACAATCATTTGTCCCTGCAGATGAGTAAGTAAAATACAGAGTATCCAAAACTTGTGATTTGGATTAGCCAAAACTATGCACAGTAAAAGCTACTTCAGAATTAAAATCCAACAATGTAACTTGCATTACAAGCTGGATGAGCTGCAATGTAAACACTAACACCTGAAGTTGGCCCACCACTTCCCACTTGAAGATCTCATTTCAGTTGCTGACAGCAGAAATACTTGTTTTCATAAACTCTCAGCCACTTGGACCATCATTTTTAAAGCTCAATCCGTTTTTTCTCAAGTGCCTTAAATTTCAGAGTGACAGTTTGAAATTTGTCAGGATTATGCAGGTAAAAAAAATGTGCCTTTAGTTTTTCCTTTAAAAGTGTATGTGTATTTAGCCAGATGACTCCTATAAGGAGCAAGGGGGAGGATATGACTTTAAAAATCAGATGTTTCACACCCTCAGAACTGCCATATAAGCAAATTGAGTTTTGCAACTTGATTTTCTTATCAAGTTTTCCAAATATGCTAATGGATATGGCCTGCTCTTTTAATGGGGCCTAATCTGAAACTGAGTTTCTGGTCTAGCTGTGTATGGAGACAAAAAGAAGGAAGTCCTCTCTCTCTCATGTTTCACATCATCTCCATGCATTTCTTACCCCTGGAGGAGCCAGGATATCCTTACAGATAGACAAACTCATCACTTTTTCTACTGTAAAATATAGAAGAAGCAGCATTTCTAGAGCTGAGTAGGAGTAGTAATTACAAACTTCTAAATATGTCAGTGTGGTATTGTTAAGATGCTAATTGCCTCAATATTTCAAGGTTTCCTTGCTCTGATTTATTTTATAAGAGCTAAATGCAAGACATTCAAAAGAGTGCTGGTGTCTACACTATTTTCATAGTACTTTACAGCTGTATTAATTCTCTCTTCTGGACTACTTTTCAGCTAGGGAGAAAATGAACTTGTTCACCACAAACACATTTTTACATGAAAATTTCCTGTCTTTACTCAGCTTCTATTTCTGCCACAAGAGGGAAGGGGGAAATGCTGGGGTTTGTTTTGTTGTGTTGGTTTTTTTGTTTTGTTTTTGGTTTTTTTTTTGAATGCTTGTCTCTGCAAGAATATTACTTCAGAGTAGTTTTTGGTTTGTATACAACTAGAGGGGAATAAATAAAGCTAGTAGGTTGCCAATGTTTTTGTACAACAGGTCAAGCTCTTGCTTTAAGATCTTAGCCCTCGAATTTAGGTTCTTGCTAACTTGCTGTGATTGATTCCAGATTGATGATTTATCTTTGCATTGGACTGGACTTTAAAATTCCTACTTGCTGATTTGCTTCCTTTTTCAGATCAAGTTCCCAACCCCAACAAATTTCTGTAAATAAATGTATAATTTCTTGTAAGATTTTCAATATTTTGATTTAACAATAGCATTATCAGATAATTCTTAGGTATTCATGGAGAACAAGAACTTATCTGAGAGCCTCATCTGTGTGCTCCCAGGGTGTGGTGATTCCTTTAGCTTTCAAACAATGGATTTCCTGTGAAGGTAAACTTACACTCAAGAACAGCCCGGTCTGGTTTACAGCCTGAAATAGAAATGTGAAACACTTTATCTGTGGCTTATAGAGAGAATACTATCGGCTTTTCAAATAATAACCCCAGCTGTCCTCTTTCTCAGCACGGCCTTTGCAAGAGGTTTATGCACACGCTTTCAAAGAATGAGCAGCCGATAAAAGATCTGCTAGAGAAGGACAGTCTGCTGCACTGACCTGGCATGTCACCTGGAACTCTGCTGCATTCTGGACACAAATACTTCTGTAAACTAAAACCAGGCAAGACTAACACATTTTATTCAATCAAGCTTTCATTAGACTCAATTATTTTGTTTTCCTTTTGACTAATTTATGTGAATTTATTATTACATCAGTAGCTGCAATAGGAAATAGTTCTTGAATGTCCCAAGGGCATTTCATTGTTATTGGGTCTATCAGTATTTGGCGCAAATGGAAAAACAGTTAATAAGCAAGCAAATCAATTTCTGGGCGCAATTTACTTATCAGCCTATTCTCACGTCACATGTCCCACATGTAACTTGAACGACCAGTTTTTCCTTCCATTAGCAAGTAGATTAAGAAAAAGGATCTACCTCCTAGCAAGCACCAGATAAACCAGATACTGTACTCCACCTGGAAATTTTCAAGTTATACGCAGGGCCTTCACTAGAATTGCATTGCTGTTTGTAGCAGCATTGAAACAAAGTAAAGATCGCGGCAAACAATTAAGTATGGCTTTGTATCTAATAAAAAACCAAAAAACCAACCAACCAAAAAAAAAAAAAAACAGAAAAGAAAAGAAATAAAGCCTTCACTTCCACCAACTCTACAGCTGAAGCAAAACATCTACTTGCAGCTCTGGAAGTGGGTCTTGCTACAGTGATACATGTACTCAAGACTTTATTTCTAACTTATTAACTGCATTATCCCTGAGGGGGAAAAAACACAAAAAAAATTTTTAAAACCCCAAAAATCCCAAAACCACAAAAACAAAAACAAAGGAAAAACAACAACAACAACAAAAACAACCTCCAGATGGTTAAAAACATACCACGCTCTTTGCTGGGAATGAAAGGCTGTAGGGAATGAAGGGCTGTTGTGAGCAAGTTACTCTGGTATGCCCATCTGTGTTGTTTCTCCACCACATGCCAAAGTTGTTTAAGGTTCTGCTTCTGACATCCAGCATTCCCACTTGGTGGCAGCTCCCTTAGTGTCCCACTGTAATCACAAAGCTGTCAGCTAGTGGAGAGAAAGAAAGCTTTTGTCAGTAATGCTCAGAGGCACTGCACTGTTACCAGGCTTTAGAACTGGCTATCTCATTTCATAATTTTCTCTGGATTCTTGTGATAATCAATTTACTTCTAACCTTAAAGAAGGAAAATTATTCAATATACTTAGGAAAACAAATAATTTAGACTTCTCTAGTAATTTTGAAAAATGTTATGTTGTATGATATGAAGAATTGAAACTGTTTTACTTGCTAACCTTTCACCTTTCTTGAATTAACATCTAAGTGATTACTTCAGGGCATCTCTAACAATCAGCTGGGGGGGTTCAATTCCAGTAATATACAGGTACACTTTTCATAAAGTCTGATAGTTCTTAGATTAAGTATGTGAACATTGCCTAAGGCAGCCTTCTCTCCTCAGTTGTGCCAGATTAAGCTGAGCTGTTGCATCCCCTTTTAACAACACAGAAAGCAGCAGTGCAAGGCCCAGGTTAGTTCCTGGTTACTACCAAAAGCAGTTACTGATCTGGCCAATGTTGAAAGAGGATTAAAAGACACACTTTTGCTCTCTAAGCAAATATGTATTTGGCTACTGTAGTAGTGTTTATTTGCACTAATCATAAGCAATTTACAGTTTGCAAGCTTTTTCCCATTCTGAGTTAAAATTTGGACATGAATATGGTGCATGTGTGAAATTAAAATTTATTTTATCTAAACTGGTAGCACAAAACTTTAATTTGCACAGGGAATCGAGAGAGAAGTGGTTTACTAATTTGGGAATTATGCCCAAAAGTCTGCAGCACATAAGTACAGCTTTCTACCTCATAAGGACTCAAAATGGGTGAGCCTCTTTTTGTGCTATTCCCTTCCCCTGTATGCTGCAGGTGGTAGATAGACTGAGCTAGGAACACATATATAATCTATCTAGCCTTATCTTAGCAGAGGTGAACCAAAATTCTTTCATAATTCCACCCAACTGAATTTATCTTTGTAGGGTGGCCACAGAACAACTGATAAGTTGCAGCATTTTACTCCACCCTCTATGATGGCTAGTGCAACAATGCAATCTTATAAAGCCAACACTGTCTACATTTATATTGTGTTCAAATAAGGCTTGCTATTTGTCTGAACTCAAAGAGTTACCTCCAGGGAAGAGTTGAAGAAAGCTTAGCTCCTCTGTCATCGGAGACATCAAGGGTGAAAAGTTTACATAATCTTTTACAAACATATTTTAATAAAAATTATTGCTTCCTTTTGATGTTTCTATTTCCTCTTGAGTCTACAGCCAAGTTCATATTTGATAAGAGAAATAGGAGTGCCATGAGAGAGAACTGGTAAAAACTGACATATGTAGATACAGCTTAAACACTGAGGAGTCAAAAACACATTAACAGCAGCACAGATCTTGGAGCAGAAAGATTTATATAGCAGGGTTCAATCATTCCAGGGTTCCTCTATAGCAATGCCAGAAAGGATAGTCACAATCCAGAAGGCCTTCAAACCTGTACTAATTATTATAATCTTGTTTTTTATTATATTCTCTTTCCCACTTGAGTAACACAAAACTTTACATAGCTAAAATAATGCAATTAGAGAATTAAATAATAAATTGTATTGTGAATTACCTGTACATGTATTCCCAATAACTGCAAATATGTCAGTCAGTCAAACTCAAAAACTATTTGGATGCAATAAGTAACTTAGGAGTACTTTCTAAAGGCAGAATCCCAGAGGTGACCGGCAGCAGCTCATGGAAAGAATTGTGCATGCCCATCTGACTGACATTATATTTTACATACCCAGGGTGAGCAAAACAGCTTCTGTTCCCAGCTAAACAAATGATGCAAGGTCATGTTTCATCTGCCAATGACTTCTTTGAGTTCTGTGTGGCAGTCAGCCATACCTCACTCTCATCATCAATACAGCTGTAAAAATACGTACAAAACCTTTGATCGTTTCACCTCTTCAAATAGTACAGCTGTTCTTGTTAACAAGTTTCTAAATATTCTGAATCAGAACATGTACATGTAAAAGAGCATTTTAAATCTCTACTGCAATGGTTTGAAATGTTTCAAAATATCCACTGGCATGAACAGAGCAGCTACTATTGCCAGAAATTATTATTGGTCTCTAGTGAAGAGAAACTTTCATGCTATTCTGTTACTCTGAGTGTTCTGAAGAAAGAGAAATACGTGAAGTGGCTGGAAGATAAACATGTGAAGTGGCTTTTGATGGTTTTGCTGGGTAATCATGCAATTCATGCAATCTGCCTTTCACCAAGACCAACTGTTTCCTTGGGCTGAAGTACCTATGAGCTTCACCAGCACTGTAAAACTGATCTAGATTTCCTGTCTAAATCTTATTTTTTTTTATCCAATCCACTCTTCTCCAACTTATTCTGCCCGGATTTTAAATTTGTTCTTTGTCTACATTTGAAATTTTGTGCTAAGTAAATGGTAAAACTCTACTCCATCACTCCGACGGGCAGGTGTGGATCTGGTGCACTGGAGTGCGTTGCTGGAGTGTAGCTGTGCCACTCTAACCCATATATCACTATAAGCCATACACCACTCTAACCCATATACCCACTCTGACTATTAACCTGTACCTCTGGCAGGGCAGCCACACAAAACCTGGCACATTTTGTATACAATGACCTGGCAGGATAAACCCTCTGTTAGATAGGCCTTGCAAATGTAGACAAGTATGGTTACAGCAGATTAACTGGAATGAAGATGTTTCTCCTATCAGCTCTGCTGTTGATTTTTTGTGTGAACTTTGATCACTTTATAACTCATCATTACTTTTCCTGCTCTCATCTGAAGAATGGTGAGATAACAGCTCTCTCAAAGGCAGCGAGCCAGCATGTGCAGAAGAGATCTGAAATCACCAGATAGAAGGTGGCTCTCACAGGACAGCAATGCAATGTATCAAATATCGATGCTACAGTTTCTTTTTAAATAGTATCGGACTCTGGATTTTCATCAGAATTTATTGCAAAGTTTTATTTCTCTGTTGGCATGACAAAGATGTTCTTTTATTGGTATCTTGGGGAGGTTAATTGCATTGGAGTGTTTTGTTTTAAAGTTCAAACCTTCAGTGAATGCAGGCAAGCTGCTTTTTTATCATAAGATTTCATCACACACCCTGTTCCTGAGGGATATTTTGGCTATTAACAGTCCTATTGGTTCAAATTTTATTTCAGTAGATTTTATATTCTCTGGTATTGCCACCTCTCTTCAACTCTTGAACTCTTACAGACACCCACCCTATATAGGCTCTAAATGTAGGCTTTATTGAACGGGTGAAATATTTACTGAGCCATAATAAGCCCCATACAGTGCTCAGTAAATGACACGTGTACGTTGTTTTGGAACATGCTCTGAGATCCTGCAGGGTGAGGAGTGGAAAATACTCCCTGTTACATAGATGGCTTTGCATAATGGACCTCAGGTACTACAGAGTCAGTTTAGAAGCCAAAAGAGAATATAAGGCCACACTTCCCAAAATGCTGCTGTGCGCACACCAAGGGAACTCTCCATAGCTACCAGTTTTCTACAGGAAAATGTCAGAAATGTGGACACAGAACAATATAAGTATAATCCCTGTGTTCATGTAAGTGTGAATAGCGCCAAGCTCCGTGCAGCTTTTTTCCACCTGGCACACTGTGTGCATTTTTAAATAAGGCTTCACAAATTAGACGATCATGTAGCACAGAAGGCGGTTCATTGCAGGAGGCTAACCAGCTTAATTCCAGCTAATGGTATGGTTCTGGCTGTAATTTCATAAGGAATTGGTCCTTTTCCTTGACACCAAGAGGAAGATATGGCCCAGAATCCAGACTGAGGGGTATGAGTAAGAAATAGTTTGGAAAAGGCTTACATCCTGTGCCATGCAAAATTTAGGGAAACTGGTAGAAACTCTTATTATTTGATAATTCAGCTGATTGTGTAAGTAACTAAGAGACAGTAGCATAGGCACTGATGTCCCAAGCTGGCAGTATGAAATGTGAGCACAAAAGTAGTGAAATTATTCTGGAAGTGTTTGAAACAATAGAACCACTTAATAATTTTAGCTAATGGTTTTAATTATTGTTTAATTTTAACATACATATAGTACAAATAGTGTGTTATTCTTAAATTACTCTTAGCCAGCATTTAGCACAGTTGTCATAAGCAGCTAGTGTGGGAATAAAGCTTGGGAAAATTAATGAAATTTTAAGTTTTGTTAAGCTAAACTTGATATGCTTCAATGAACAAGGCCTGGTAGAAAGTGATGTATTGTTGAAATTGGATACAAGAAGCATAGAATTTATGGACTACAAGGACATTTGCAGAAACCAGAAGATAGAGAAGAAGCTAATAAAGACTCAGTATATATGTGCTGAAAAGTCCCTACCTAGAAAAAAAAATACTAAAAAGACTGAAAAATATAAACTAATTAGCATGAGAACTGAGAAGTCAATAACCAATAGAAAATATAATACCCATTAATGAAGGACAATCATGTAATTTAGAACCAATGAACATTAATTTCTTTGTTTGCTAAAAACATATAAATAAGTAAATGAGTTTTGTATCTGCATTTGTATAGAGGCCAGAATTTTGTTGGCCACACACACACCTCCAGGCTAAGAATAAAGTAATGCCTTACTCAATGACACTAAAAAGACAGTGTTAGAGAGTCTTATTTATCCTGACAGTTTCAGAGGATTTGGTAGCTGAAATGTCATTCAGCATTCAGGACTCTGCCTCTACTGTGACTTGCTGTAGCCTCTCAGCATTCCCTGTGTCTTCTGAAGACACTGCTGAAGGTTCCCTGTAAACTGAGACTAACAGAGCAGTGGCAAAGAAAGATCTGCAATTAGCAGTTACCGAATAACCTGTCTGCCACAGCAAATGTCTCCATCCACTATTCAGTAATAAAAGGC